GAGGAACAACAGTTGGCAGAGCAAGAAGTACTTGTGAAACAATTTTGGAGAACATTCAACGTCAAGAAAGCTGTGGACTTCTTGGTGGAGGCATGGGATCAGCTGTTTGTAGCAACTGTTCGTCACGCATGGAGACATGTGTTGCAAGGTATTCTGGGTGGGAGGCAGAGTAAATCTGTGACTGGTGAGGTTCAGACTTTTGCAGTAGCAGTGGACCTTGCCAGAGAAGCTGCGCAGAGTGTTACAGCTGCAGGCTTCTCTGAGACCACCAACGACGATATCCTAGAGGTGATAAGGGATCCTGATATGACTACCGACGAGATGCTAGATGATGACGACGTCAGTGAAGAGGCAGGTGGTGCGTCATCCCAAGAAGAACGCAAGTTATCCCATAGTAATGTAAGGGATGCCATCGAGTGTATTGAGAAAGTCAAGCTCCTCCTTTCCGACGACAACCGGTATGAAATCTTCACTACCCATCTATGGAGCCCTACATCAGGGTGTATCAAGACAACATAAACACCAGCCGTCAGCAAAGCATAATCGAGTTCTTCGCCCGCAACGCACCATATCCAGCCCAAGCCAGTGATAGTGACAGAGACAGTGATGATGACTTTGGGGGATTTGTCAGGGAGGCACTACTAAGTGCGGATGACAGTGATGAAGACTCACCTGAGGGCCAGTAGCCTGCCCTCTGCCTCGGAACCAGCCTCCATTCCCGTACGCCGACCCATCTCTTCTACTAACGTAAGTGTTGACCCTAACCTTGTTTTTTTCTAACCAAACCTACTGTACAATATATTATTCTCTTATTGATTGTTCCCTTCTATATTATGTGTGTGTGAATACCATCATAAAGTTAAGATGTTATTTTTACTAAAATGTACGTATTGTGTCGGGAAAAAGTGGAGTTTGGGGGTCGGCCCGGTCTCTATTTCAATTAATCCCATATATTATGTTGTTCGCTTTATGCGTTTCTCACTTTACACGGGCCGCCGTGGGTTCAATTGACAGCGTAAAGTGAGGGTTTATTATATATATATATATATGTTATATATATATATATATATATATATATATATATATATATATATATATATATATATATATATATATATATATATATATATATATAATAAACCCTACTTACTAAGTCAATTGAACTTATCGGCGTCCGTAAAAGTGAGAAAACGATAAAGTTTAACAAATAATATATATATATATATATATATATATATATATATATATATATATATATATATATATATATATATATATATATATATATATATATATATATATATATATATATATATATATATATTGAGTCATCTGAGTACCTTAGCTGGCCAGTTGCCTCTGAAGATGTCTTGAATAAAGACGAAGTTAAGGTAATTGTTTCCATTTTCCCGCAGGATTTTATCAAGATACAGTTTATCTCGCCTAATCATGTTTCACTTAACGCGTTTTCGCATATACGCGGTGCCTTGCCAAAGCTGAACTTTCACTTAACGTGGATTTTTTCCACATATACGCGGTGAGTGTCCGAGACGCTATTTTTAGATTTGCCCCACCCGCCACCCTGCCTGACTGCCTGTTTTAGCTCATAAAATTCATACAAATTACCAGGCCAGAATATAATTTACATTGCTGGAATTCTTATAATTTGGTGATCATTTTGAATATAAACATCATATATTTTGCTTTAAACTTACAATTTTTAGATAAAATTTTTTCTCTAGGTAACTATGGTATCTTTTGTGCAAAATATATGACATTTATATTCAAAATATTCCTGGTCTTACAAGGAATCCAGCAATGTCAATTATATTATCCTAACTTTAGTTTGAAGTATTATTTATTAAAATTTAGTGGTTATCCCACACATCTCCTTGGGACGGTTGGTGGGGGGGTGGGGGGGAGGGAGGGACCAACCGACCATCTGTTACCCTGTGAAGAATTATTATTTTTTTTTATTTACTGAAGATATTTGTTTTAGCTCATAAAATTCATACAAATTACCCGGTCAGAATATAATTTACATTGCTGGAATTCTTATAATTTGGTGATCATTTTGAATATAAACATCATATATTTTGCTTTAAACTTACAATTTTTAGATAAAAATTTTTCTCTAGGTAACTATGTTATCTATTGTCCAAAATATATGACATTTATATTCAAAATATTCCTGGTCTTACAAGGAATCCAGCAATGTCAATTATATTTTCCTAACTTTAGTTTGAGGTTATCCCACACATCTCCTTGGGACGGTTGGTGGGGGGTGGGTGGGGGGAGGGAGGGACCGACCGACCATCTGTTAGCCGGCTGTGTAGTGTGAGAGGGAGGGAGTTGAGTCCATTATTTGAATGGACATTAACTTGGCGACTGTATTTCTCTATTTCTCTTAAGTATTAATTGTGTGCATGTACCATCATAAAATTAAGATGTTATTTTTACTACAACATAGGTATGTGCCTTCAAAAAGTGGAGTTTGGGGGTCGGGCCGGTTTCTATTTGAATTAATCCCATATGTTCTGTTGTTCACTTAACGCGGATTTCACTTAACGCGGGACCCTCTGGGTTCAATTGACCGCGTTAAGTGGGGTACATATATTTATATATATATATATATATATATATATATATATATATATATATATATATATATATATATATATATATATATATATATATATATATATATATATATATATATATATATATGCAAGTAAATCACTGTAAAGTGGATCTAGGTAAGCTGATAACCACAAGGAAAGAAGAAACAAAAGTTCCCAAGAGCGTAATTCACATCTTCGTGTATATTACCGAAGTAAGCATTAACTCTTCCTGTATATATATATATATATATATATATATATATATATATATATATATATATATATATATATATATATATATATATATATATATATATATACACATATATATATATTTATATGTATGCTGATAACCACAAGGAAAGAAGAAAACACGAAGTTCCCAAGCGCTTTCGTGTAATTCACATCTTCAGGGGTGAGTACAGACTAAGGAGAAGTACAAAACAAGGTGTATATATACAGAGGAGGGTGAGATCAGGTCCACAATGGTCAGGTATTAGGTAATGACCCTACTAATCTTTAAAAAGCACCGCAACGGTCGGTAGTCAGGTCAGAGGGTAAGGTGACCCAACCTTCTCACCTGGTTACAAATCTTCTTAATTACAAAATTGTCCAGTTTGTACATGCCATTACTCAAATTCATGTTGACTGCTTCGGTATGTTTAATAAGACTAGATTCTATAATGTTCCTACCGTCAATTGAATTACAAGGTAATATTGAGGAGGCATTATCCCAGTCAATGCAATGCTTATTATCCCTCAGATGAACAAACAGAGCATTGGATTCCTGGCCTGTCCTAACACTATATTTATGTTGTTTAAGTCTAGTTACAAGATCTTTACCTGTCTGGCCTAAGTAAAACATATTCCATTCCTTGCAAGGAACTTTATAAATGCAACCAATTGTGTCGTTGGGGAGTTCTTGATTCACATTTGTTGAACAGTGCTTGAGTTTTTAAATGCCACATTGACGTTCCAGGTTTTTAGTTGTAAATGAATTTGAGAGAAATTTTTGTGAAATGGTAATATTAAGAGATTCTTATGGTCATGGGTGAGCTTGGGATCAGTTCTATAAAAAGATTTCTTAGTAATCCCTTGGTTAACGAACGCCTCGGTTAACGAGATTTCGGTTAACGATTTACCTTCCATAAGATTCTTAACTTCAGTTAACTAGCAATCCCTCGATTAACGAGTTTTTACGAGCCGACCTCAACATGTTTTCGCTTGCATTTGATGGTCCACCAGCTGTAGTATTAGTCCGCCAATACAGCAATGGGTTTTAGGGCTTAAATTCCTTACTATTTTAGTAAATATCAAGAAGTTTATTCCATTAAATAATTTTAAAAGTTTAATATTAAATTTTTTAGTCATTTTAACAATTATTGAACATAATTGAAGGTAAGAAAACTAGTTTCATGCACGCCATCCAGCCTGTCAACACACGAAACAGGCACCAGCCTCTCTGTCTTTTCAGTGGAGGTAACATCTTGCTTGAGACTCTCTTCAACTAAATGCTATTTTTCTGTGTGTGCAAGCAAATTATTGGTCATTTTGAAATTTATTTTACATATTGACAATATATAATACAGTGCAGTGTTGATTTAAAGAAAATAATCTTGAAATACACCAAGAGAACTAAAATTTTATGGGTCAAATGGTGCCATGGGGTGACTTCTCTTCCACCCCAATGCCTTCTCTTCTTCCTTCTCCTCCACCCCCATTGTAATTCCCATCATCATCATCATCATCCAGGAGCCTTCTACATACACACCTCAAAGTAAGTGAACTTTTCTACCATTTTTGTTGAATTTAGGAAATTTTCGGTGAGCTGGAACCAATTACCCAAAAACCCATTGAAACAATGGTTTCGGTTAACGAACTTTTCGGTTAACGAACGACCTTCTGGAACGGATGAGTTCGTTAACCGAGGGGTCACTGTATACATATATATACATATATATACATATATATATATATATATATATATATATATATATATATATATATATATATATTTGTTTTTGTTTTTATTTTCATGATCATTAAAATCGCCTCTAATCACAGTACATAAATTTACTTGATAGTAAGATTCCCTTTTGACCAGGCTACAACCTCCTTTTTGGGAGAATTTTCCTAAGACCTAAATTTAATTCACTAATATAGGTATTCCTAGAAAAAGTAAGTAGTATTGTGGAAATTTTGACACATAGCAGAATTCTGCTTCATCTATGACACATCTACAATATGTGAGTTTATGTTCAGTGACAAAGGCTAATAAATGCATACAGTATGATGCCCTACATTCCCCATACTTTTTCCTGTTCTCTGTCCAGTAGTGTAAAAATGTCCTGTATATGCAGTACAAATAAAAGACTTCTATGATATAAAAAATTTATGTCTTGTGTTCAAACATAATGGCGAGGGGTAAATGCCAGTTTTTCTTCACAGTAAGTGTTCTCTCTGTACTGTAGTTGATGAAATAATCATTCCCTGCCAAGTTTGTTAATGTTGGATTTCACTGTAAAACATTAACAACCAGTGTAATATCATTGTACGACAGAGTAAACTAGGTTGCAATTAATGACAGGAGATATTTGCTATTCTCACCTTGGGTCCACTACAAAAATGTATGGTTCATAGTAAGCACAGATGCAGATATTCACATATAAAAAGTTCTCTCATCTTGTCAAGGAAAATAATGCACTATCAAATACTGTTCGTACTCTGTATTATAATAATAGAGGTTTATTGCAATTTAAAGAGTACTGTATCCCTATTACTGTAATGTATTCCCTCATGTGATGCATAACCGAGGTTTATGAGAGCCTTAAAAGAGCCCAAAATGTAAGTGTGTTTACTGGCACACACTATGTGAGGGAACACCAAATCCACACTGTAAAAGCATTAAGAGCTATGTAAACTAGTCTAATAAATAACCAAGTGCTAAAAAATAAGTAAATAAAGTATATGCAGTGGCAGTTTTCTGTAAAGAATGACTCCTTCTCAGTGAGGTGAACAAATATGTGGTTGGTTCTGCATTCTTGCTGCCAGATGCAATGCAAGCTGTTAGAGTGATTAACTATTTTTCAAGTGCAATGTTTGCAACAGAAAAGTACTGCTGATCAACTGCTTAGTACAGTACCAGTCTTCAGTGTCACGGTAAATCCTGGGTGTTCACTACCAGATACTTGTCATGCATTAAACAAGTCATCTGAGTCAGACAATGTCATAAAAAAGTAAACATATAATAAAGTCATTATTACATTGTATCCCAAAATCATATTATTATTCTTTTATTTTGAAGTACATACAAGGATGTTTTGTTTTGTTTTATAAGTGTTCTGTAACCATTTTACTTCATCCCTAACTAACAGTTGGTTTATAATGTATTAAATGTAAGTGTTAACTCATCTCATGAAATCTAAAATGTAACTATGTATCTCACTTTCTCTCAATCAATATAAATTGAATATGTAAAAATTATACACAGGACATATCTAATATGTGAAAGCTTTTATCCATTTTGTAAAGTAGTCTCTCTTGACTTTTAGTGTTTTTTAATGAATAACTGCTTATTCTCAGAAATAAAAATCAACCTAAATTCCTTCAACATACCGAGACACATTTAAATGATGATAAACTCAAAAATTATTTTATATAAATTTTGTTATGAAACAAAAATGCCACAGGATCATATAATTACAAAGGTAATACCCAGTACCTAAAAAGCCCGATTCCATTTGATAGCTTGAATTATATCCATATAATGAACCCTAGCCAAAAATGTTGATACCAACTCATATTCTAGCTGTCCACCCTGACGCTCAGATGATCCTCCCCTCATTTCTTCCATTCTTTTCCTCTGCCCTCGATTCTTTTTTCCATCTTGGTTCTGAGGTCGAGACAGTCGAGCTTCACAAAGAACTTTCGTGGTAAGACACAACAGCCACTGCATTATCTAGAAGGTGAAATAGGGATTTATTCATGGATTAAAAACACATTAATGTACTATTTATTTTCTAATACAGGTTGTACCTCTCTAGTCCGGCAACCTCGGGACCTGACCGGTGCCGGACCATGGAAATTCACCCTATTCCTGGATAGATAGTGACTTGTGCTTATGCTTGGAAGCACTAGCACCACTTTCTCTGCATCATGGTCTCTTTGAAGACACATTGAAGGGTTAAATGTCGTATAGTAGCTTCTCAAATTTCGCGAGTTTTTAATTCTTAACGTATTTTATTGGAACACAAAAAAAAAAATAAATAAAAATTTTGACAGCGGAAACTTGAATTTCGACGGGTTTGAACGGCCCGCCAACATGCAGACGACGTGCATAATCGTGTAAACAGCGTCATTTCTCTTATGTACAAAAGATTCATTATTGTTTATTAGTGAATGTCTTTTTTATTGAATGAATGTTTATGTGTGCAAAATGAGCAATACAATTCATTAATAATACGTAGAATGTTAAAACACACGAGGAAATGACACAGCATTGTTTTCGTTGATTACAAAACCAGTGACTGACTGATTCTACATATAAAACTGAAGAAAATAAGACCTTGGTTGTAGCTGTAGTAAAATTAATATGGTTGTTTTAAGTAATGTTATTTAATGTTAATAAATGGAGCAATAGAAATAGCTAACGATAATGGTAAGGAAAAAAGAGAGATCGCGTATGTAAGTGCGCGCACGTGAAAACATTTCGTCATTACTTTACATAAGAATATGAAAGCAACACTTATTTACTGTTCATAAATATTTTAACTAATGTTTCTGAATATGTTTTTATTGAATTAATGCTTGTGTGTGCAAAATTAACAATACAATTTATTATTAATACGTGGAATATTAGAGGAGACGAAACGGCTACCGGCATTGTTTATGTTAAAGCTTACAAAACCAGTGACTCATTGGTTCTACATATAAAACTGAAGAAAATAAGACCCTGATTGTAGCTGTAGTAAAATGAATGTAAAAAAATTAATATGGTTGTTTGAAGTACCTGTTATGTTATTTAATGTTAATAAATGGAACAATATAAGTAGCTAACCATGAATGGTAAAAAAAAAAAGTGAGACTGCGCGTATATAAGTGCGCACATGTGAAAACATATCGTCATTACTCTACATAAGAATATGAAAGCAACACTTATTTACTGCTCATATATATTGAAGGGTTAAATGTTGTACTCTGTATAGACAAGCACACACACACAGAGAGAGAGAGAGAGAGAGAGAGACAGAGAGACAGAGAGACAGAGAGAGACAGAGAAGTATTATCGAAGCATTAATCACATTATCTATTAATTTGCTATTAATCGCTACATCACACATCAAGCACATCACATCAAGCATATCGCTATTATCATATTAATTTAAGACATCACACATCAAGACATCACATATCAAGACATCAAGACATCAAGACATCACATATCACATATCACATATCATACGTTACATCATATTATCAAGATATCGCATATCATGGAGCATCAAGATAATACATTATCGGGCATATTTACATTAATAAGACAAGAGACAGAGACATTAAGAGACAAGACATTAAGAGCATTATATCAGAGACAGAGACAAGAGACAGAGACAGAGACAGAGACAGAGACAGAGACAGAGAGAGAGAGAGAGAGAGAGAGAGAGAGAGAGAGAGAGAGAGAGAGGAGAGAGAGAGAGAGAGAGAGAGAGAGAGAGAGAGAGAGAGAGAGAGAGAGAGAGAGAGAGAGATATATATATATATATATATATATATATATATATATATAGAGAGAGAGAGAGAGAGAGAGAGAGAGAGAGAGAGAGAGAGAGAGAGAGAGAGAGAGAGAGAGAGAGAGAGAGAGAGAGAGAGATATAGAGAGAGAGAGAGAGAGATATATATATATATATATATATATATATATATATATATATATATATATATATATATATATATATATATATATATATAGAGAGAGAGAGAGAGAGAGAGAGAGAGAGAGAGAGAGAGAGAGAGAGAGAGAGAGAGAGAGAGAGAGAGAGAGAGAGAGAGAGAGAGAGAGAGAGAGAGAGAGAGAGAGAGAGAGAGAGAGAGAGAGAGAGAGAGAGAGAGAGAGAGAGAGAGAGAGAGAGAGAGAGAGAGAGAGAGAGAGAGAGAGAGGTAGAGAGAGAGAGAGAGAGAGAGAGAGAGAGAGAGAGAGAGAGAGAGAGAGAGAGAGAGAGAGAGAGAGTCAAAAATGCAAAATAATCGATATAAATTCTAAAATAAATTCTAAAATGGGTGTCTCTTTTTCTTCTCAGCACCACGAGAACTCTCATTTTTACACTTGACAGCCATTTTAAAGGGAATTACAAACAAAAATTTTGTCCGTACACAGCGCAATCACTAATGTCGGGACTCGAAAATACGTAATGTGAAAAATATTTTATACGACCATGGCTTTCGTATGTCTGGGTTGTCGTAAGTCGAATATGTCTACAGTTGTTCAGACTCAAGTAGTATTTGAGCGGTGTAGTACTGGGCCTGGTAGCCTCTACTAGCAGATGATGTGCCTGCTTGAGTTTTAAAATCTTACAGTAATATCTCGGTTAGCCGTTATCCCTCAGACCCGGAACTCTCCGATAGCTGGAATTGAAATTTTCTCGGAAAATCATTCCAAAAGCCGGAATTTTCCAGAAAATTCTGGCTTTGGGAACGATTTTCCAAGGGGAACATTTTCTGGAAAATTCTGAGAAAATTTTCCCAATATGTACCTGGAAAATCCCAGAAAATTCCAGGGATGGGGGAGTTTTTTCCAGGTTTGAGAGATGGAAATCAGGTGCATTTTCCGGAAATTCCAAGAAAATTTTTCCGGTGACCCGGAAATTTCAGGGGATGGGAGAATTTTTCCGGGTTCAAGAGATGATGTAATGCACAATTTCTGGAACTTCCGAGAAAATTTTTCCGCTATCCAGAATATTCCGGGGATGAGAGATTTTCTTCCGGCTAATGGAGACATCACTGTATTACAGTACAGTACAGTACAGTGAACCCTCACTTTACACAGTTAATTCAACCCACAGGGTACCGCGGAAAGTGAGAAACGTGTAAAGTGAACAACATAACATATGGGATTAAATGAAATAGAGACCGGCTGACCCCCAAACTCCAATTTTCCGACACAATACCTATGTTCTAGTAAAAATAACATCTTAATTTTATGATGGTACATGCACACAATTAATACTTAAGAGAAATAGAGAAATACAGTCGCCAAGTTAATGTCCATTCAAATAATGGACTCAACTCCCTCCCCCTCTTCTCACACTACACTCCTGGCTCTTCCCTCTCTGAGAAATGTTTGGGGGGAAAACCACTAGATTTTAAGGTATAGTAATAAATAATACCTCAAACTAAAGTTAGGATAATATAATTGACATTGCTGGATTCCTTGTAAGACCAGGACTATTTTGAATATAAATGTCATATATTTTGCACAAAAGATAACATATTTACTCAGAGTAAAGAAAATACTTACATTAGATTTAAAATTTGTATGTCTAATGCAAAATCTATGATGTTTATATTCAAAATGATCATCAAATTGTAAGAATTCCAGCAATGTAAATTATATTCTGGCCGGGTAATTTGTATGAATTTTATGAGCTAAAACAAATATCTTCAATAAATAAACATAATATACTTACCGAAATACTATCTGTCAATCAAAATACCCCACCTCCCCCCCTCTTCCCACCTGCTCCCTGGGTCCCTCCCTCCCTCACCCCCACCTTCCCTCCCTACCAGAGAAATGTTTGGGTTATAACAGTATATTTACATTTTTAGTAATAAATAATACCTCAGACTAAAGTTAGGATAATATAATTGACATTGCTGGATTCCTTGCAAGACCAGGAATATTTTGAATATACACTTCATATATTTTGCACAAAAGATAACATATTTGCTCTGAGTAAACAAAATACTTGCATTAGATCTAAAATTTGTATGTCTAATGCAAAATCTATGATGCTTATATTCAAAATGATCATCAAATTGTAAGAATTCCAGCAATGTAAATTAAATTTTCGCCGGATAATTTGTATGAATTTTATGAGCTAAATAAAAAAATTATACTTCACCCGCGTAAAGGGGTACACGCACCGCGGAATGTGAGCATTCCGGTTTCGGCAGGGTACCGCGTAAACGTGGAAACGCGGAATGTGGGACCACGTAAAGCGAGGGTTGACTGTACATATTTAAAATAACTTAAATTTGTTTTATTTATGGTTGTACGGTATTTATATGATTAGTATATGTTTATGTTTTTTTCCATGTTTAGCCCACAAATGTAACCTAACTTGATTGGTTAGGAACCAAACCACCACTTATTACATTGACTTGTATGGAAAAAATTGCTCTGTTATTCATACAATCATTATATATTACACCCTCGATTTAACAAAATCCGATATAACAAACTCAATTTAGTGGAAGTAATTTTTTTTTATTTTTCACTCGATTTAGTGAACTAGTTTGCCAAATCAGACACATAATATGTACATAGAAACATTATTCATGGCTTACCTTAAACTAGGGGGTTCAGTGTTTATAAATTTTTTCTATAATTTCCAAACTTTTGACTTTCTCCCCCACACCACTTCCTTTCTGATTCTTCTGAGAGACTTTCAACATGATGTCTAAGCACAGTAGTTAGTTGACCAAGATGTAGACCGAGAGGTAGCAGTGAACAACACACGCGGTGGTGGCAGGTCACAGATCGAACAGTTGTAAACAAACCCCTCGCAGAGCATTTAATGGACTCATGGGTGAACTTTCATTTCAAATCTCAAATTTAGTGGTCATAGTTTACAAATTTCGTAGGGGCAAATTTCTATAACCTGAATGGTCATCAGCCATTTTTTTTAAACATTCGGGTTACTTATTAGTAACCCGGAAGCGCCCTCCGAGACGTAATCCATT